ACATGACAGGTAATAAATGCTTGATAGGCCTACAAAAAAACAGATGCAATAACACTTTTCATCTTTGCACTTCTGTTTTCCTAGGAATATTTTTTTCCTATTGGTAGTAGGAAATGCTAGCAGCAGGAAGGACAGAGGTAGATGACAACTGGGCAGTTTAGAACTGTTTGACAGAATCATGATGTCCACAGAAAAGTCACCAAGCCCATCTCCAAAACCAAAAATAAAGCAGTGCCTTTGAAAATTCCCAGCATCTTCCCCCCACCTTGCTTATTCTGGAAGAAGAACATCTCTGGTTGTTCAATTGTTTCTCCTTTTTTATGCTCTTTATTGTTATAAATTTAGGAATGAGCAGTTACAGATGTGATGGTTAGAAACCAGTCTGTTCACTGGCGAGTAATTTTTTTTTTTTATGGTGAGTGGGCTGCTCTTGTTTGTGTTCGTGCTGTCAGTACTATAAGGAAGATTTGTTCATTGTAGCAAATCCTTGTTGCAAGGAACATAAAACAACTACTTAATTGCTCTTTAAAGGAGAAAGAACATTGTGGTTTGGTCCCTGGATTTCACTCCGTTAGGAATAAACAGACCCCAAAAAATGAATCTTGGAGAGTTTAATGGGTTTAAAACTATGTCAAGGTGTTTAATACTTTTTTTTTTTTTTTTTTTTAATACTTTCTTTAACTCAGACATCTTTTTACTGGAAATATAAATGACTACTTCAAGTTCTCCCTGTGTGAGGGGTCTCAGGGGAATTATTTTCACATTATTTTCACAGCTGGAGACAGCCAGGTACAAAAATACCTCTATCACCTTGTCCTTTTAATTTGCCCTTTTTAGGCCAAGAAAGGAAGAAGAACTGACACACCTTAATTATCTGCTCCCATATCTGTCCTTATATGCATGGACAGCTGCAGTTTCCCCAAACTTTGATTTATTAAAGTGTTCCTGGTTGGTGACTATGCTGAGGGACCATTTATTTTCCTCCTGGCTTGAGGCATGATCCTTTTATAAACTACCTGAAGCAAATCTGGTGTCTCTTCATTACAGTAATTTAATGCTAATGACTTGCTCCACTGAACGGTGGAGAGGAAAAATAAGTAAAAATAATCCCAACAGATAAAAACGTCGTGACTCCAAGTCTTGCACAGGAAATAAATTCGTATTTCAGTGTGAGGCTTTGGGAAGTTTTAATTTATAATGTAAGCTCATCTTAACTACTTCATGCATAGGTGTTTATTTTAAAGGGTTTTAAAACTTATTTTACCTTGCTGATATAAGCTCTGTAGACAGCAACACAGTGGGAAAAACTAAAGTTAATTTCTGCCCAATAATGCTGTGATTATCTTGGCTATTTTTTTCTCTTAGTCATGCTGTTTTGCTTATGGGCTTTAAGTGCTTTCTGTTTGTTTGCAAAAAAAATAATTAGAAAAAAACAAATAAATAAACAACAAAAAAAAACCCCAACAAATACCAAATCCTGGTTGGTTTAAAACATGTAAGTAACTTATAAGCAATACAAGCCTGATTTTTACTGTCACATAATACTCTTATACCATTTTTATGTTGTAGCTGGTGGTTTCCTAACATTTTATTGCACATAAATATATTTGAACAGCCACGGTTATTTTTTCTTTTTTGTGTGTGTGTGTGTCTGCTTCTGCACTAAGCCAAGGGAGAGCAACACACATGCACTATGGAAATTGAGATGGAGATGATACATAATGCTGACACAAAGCTTGACTAATCTTCGTGCTGAAAYGCTGAATAAACTGCACATTTCTGGGGTGAGCTTCTTTCTGCGGGTTGGCTGCATTAAAAAGGCAGCTTATATAAAGCTGGGAGGTCCATAAAAGCTTGAAATAGAATTTACTCCATTTTGATTTCCCTATGCTGGTTTTGAGGCCCTGGCCTGGCTTGTCACGAGGAATGTCAGCTCTGTGCATCTCAGCCACCGTGTCGCCGATTTCTCTTTGCTTTGGCACAGGGTGGGTTCAGACCCTGACTCCTCAAACTGAATTTTGAGATGTTGTGAATGCTGAAGGAGGGGCTTGACCACCACCATAGTGCCTGATTCATGGGTGCTGTGTGGAAACACAATTCTGAGTTAAAACACATTATCTGAGTTAAAATTTGAGTTAAACAGAAGAAACAAGCCGAGAAGCCTCACAGATCTGATGCCAAGAGGAGGGATCAGCACGACAAGACTGTACTCCCATTTCCTGCCTCTCTGGTTGGGTTTTGGGCATCAAACAGTCAGCAYATTTCACATTTCTGGGGAGGAGATTTTCCTTCAGACAGAAACACAGGTCCTGTGAGGGAACTGATGAAGGGAGAAGGACACAGCTGTCTGTGATGAASTCCTCTGCTGCTCCCACGATGATGGACACAGGCAGGAAGAAATTTGGCTGAACCATCAACCACACCACTCACTCCATCTCAAGCCCACTGTTGCCATAGCCTCTCCTGCTGACAGCAGGAATAAATTCATAAATGACATTTCTGGATAAAACAAGTGAAGTAACTCAGTTTGTTTCCACTGAAACAGATTTCTTACATGCCCATGTCCAAGCCACTAGGAAGGAGTCATCAATCCAGTGAAGGAATGAAGAGAAAATACAATAGCATGCTGATTTCTTTCCTTTAAGAAAGAGCATAATATATCTTGGAACATTCAGAAATACCTTTTGCTCTTTTTTTTTTTTTTCCTGGAGGAAGATCTCTCGGACCAAAGATCAATACGATGACAGATTGCTTCAAGCATTTCTTCACTGCCTGCTACTGATGCCTTAATGAGATGTATTCTCTGCACGAGACAGAGCCTGTAGAAGAATTACTGGATAGGTTTTCAGAACCTGTGCTGTGTAAATCACTTTATGAGTACAACGGTCCCTCTTGACCGAAATCAAGAAGTTTGATTCTTTTTCTGCTTCATTTGCCCCTTGGCAAGAATATTTTGATTTGGTCTCTGGATTTCATACCGTCAGGAATAAAYAGATTTTTAAAAAATGCATCCTGAGGAGTTTATTGGTTTAAACTTTATTGGTTTAAACTAAACTCTTGAACTCTGACATACTTCTAGTGGAAATATACCTGGCTGCTTCAAATTCTCCCTGTGTGAGTGGGGAAGGAAAAATAATCTCAGRGGGATTGTTTTCACAGCTGGAGACAGCCAGGTACAAAAATGTCTCTTTCACCTTGCCCTTTTAATTTGCCCTTTTAAGGGTCAAGAAACGAAGGAGAATGGACACACCTTAATTATCTGCTCCCAGGCCCAGTGTGTTACTGTTTGTCTCTGCTTCTCTTAACTTTAAAAGTTTATCCTCAGTTCCCTTCTATGTTCCTTTCTATCAGACCACAAAGGTTTCTGGGTTTTAATGACCGTTCCTGCAACTGCACCCAATTGTTCATTTCCACACTAAAATACTGTAGGTTCAAGTAGTTGAGGAGGCAGAAAACAGAGTAGTAATGACAAAAACACTTAACTGTGTCTTGAAAGTATTGCTGCTCAGGGTTTTCATTTGCCTTCAGCTGATAAACAAATGGCAGGTTTACCATTATTAACCTAAATAACATTGTTGCTGTTTTCTACTATGACAACTCCAATTTGTGCAGCTATGGTCGTCACAAGGGAACAGCTTCAACAAGCTGGGCCCTAAAATGAAACTGTGATGCCTCAGCATCACTTACCTTTCTTCTCAGAAGGCAGATTCAGAGTGGCATTGCCTTTGCACTAAAGTTTGGGACAAGGAGAACCCAACAGCAACCCAGAGGCAGCCAGGCACAGCTGGCCAAGGCTTGCTCTGGGGCAGGATTTGTGCTAAATACCTTATCTGCATAATTTTGGGGGGGATCCTGAGGAGAATGGAGTTATATTTAGGCTTAGGCACAAAATGTGCATTCCCATCTCAATCCAACATGGAGCAATTTTGGTAGTCTTGAGCTGCTCTCACCCTGACCCATTTCCCAGCAGTCAGTTCTGTCCTGTGTCCTCTGAACAGGATAAAAACAAAATATTCCTTTTCCCCTCCCCATTTTTAATACTCCTCCCACCTCCTTCCACCAGTTTACAAAAACAATTAAAATTCATGGGAAAGACACTTGGTCCTGAGCCCAAGCTCTGCACGTCAGTGTCTGTGTCACCAACGGGTCCTCAGTGAAGCATTTCCATTCATTTTTTGTTGTTTGTATTTCACTCCAAATTCCAACAACACCCCTCATTTTTCTTTATCTTTGTCACAAATGAAATAAGGGGGGGGAAAGATCATTAACAGTGTAAAGAGAGTGAACTTGTGTGAGGTTTTGTCCCGAGGACAAAAAAGCCCTTAAAACCCGGAAAACTTTGTGAAGCCACTGTCTGTAATTGGCAAAAACGGAATTTTCATTGATAAGGGAGAAACAATTGTCCAATTTAGTGCTGAGTGTGGTGCACAGGCAAGAGGAGGCCAAAAGGCCACTCACAAAATCTAAACATGCCAGACACTGAACAGGAACAATTCTTTCTTGTGGGCTTGACATGGAAATGGGGTACCTAAGGCTCCCAAGATTGTTACTACTCTCTCTAAAGCAAGAACTAAAAAAACCTCCTRGCTATATTGAATATGCTGAGCACCRGCCATTATCCCACATTCCACAGAAACTGCTACTCACCTCTCTCCCATCCTCAGCCAAGCTGGCTGGAATTCCAGCAATCTGCTTACACTCTGACCCCCAAATTTTCACCTGGCTTTACAGTGAGGCAAACCCGTTTATCCCATTCTTTTCCCTTGTTTCAATCTGGTCCAAAAATGAAGAGTTGGCTTTTTTGGTTTTTTGTTGTTGTTGTTTTGTTTTGTTTTGTTTTTTTGTTTTTGTTTTTGTTCTTTTTTTAAATTTCCCCTGAGTTCCTGCCCTCCTACCGCCCAGCCCCAAAACTCCAGCGGAGCCGCCCAGGCTTTGCAACGCCTGCATTAAACCAGGAGTGATTTTTGCTGTAAAAACCGAGATTTCAGGGCCGTACTGACCTCCACCAGTGGCCTGGGCTTGCGCTCCACTGCGAACCTRAAGTGGCAGAGCTCACAGTAGCTGGTGTTGGAGGACGACAGCCAGTGCTCCAGGCAGCTGCGGTGAATGGTGCCCAGGGTCCCCGTGCATTCGCAGGGCGACAGCAGCTCCTCGTGGCTGCTGCCCTCATGGCAGATCCGACAGATGGGACGGTCATTGAAGGGGCTACTGCAGGGGGAGGAGGAGAGAAAACCACCCGTCAGTGCCGCGATATCGCCTTTTCCTCCTCGCGAATTAACGGYGTGGGGAGCATTCCCGGTTTAAGAGAATTTTGTGATCAGTAAGCCGAGCTGYCGGGCTAATGGTTCGGGGCGTTTTGGAATTTTTGTTTAAAATATCTCTTCTGTCATGGGGGAGAGTGTGGACTAAAAAAACCTCACAGTGTTAGAAGACCAAGTGCTTCTGCACTTTTGCATTTCCCGGAGCAGCAGTGCAGCCCGAAGTGCATCAAGGAAAGATTTAAACCTGTCTCAGCCTGGCACTTCTTGTTGTAGTGGTGATCCTCCGACCTAAACATTGTTTTTACTGACCAGCAGCACAGGCTGGAAGAGCAGCCCSGTGTCCTGCAGTTCTGGGAAGGCAGGGACACAGCTTTGGTAAGGCACATGCCCTTCCCCTCTCTTTGGGGTGTTGTGAATGCTGAAGGAGGGGTTTAACCACCACCACACGATTCATCGGCGCTGTGTGGAAACACAATTCTGAGTTAAAATATGTTATCTGAGTTAAAATTTGAGTTAAATGAAAGAAACGACTCTTTGGGACACAAAGTTACCTCTCTTTGGGACAACACTCCACAGGGAGGTCGAGTAGCGATAAAAAAAGTGCTGAAAAGGACTTTTCCAAACACWTCTCTCCTGCACGGCTGCTGCGTTCTGTCTGCACTGCTTTGAGAATCCGTGAAGGTTTTTCAGCTCACCGCCAGCAGAGACAAAGTTAATTTTGGCCCAATCATCAAGCCTGGATAAGGCCAGACCCTTAACCATGCTCCTTCTTGCYTCTAATGCAAGCAAAGCCAGTCTGAGCTATGCTCTGAATGTATAGATTAATCATATATTTCCCCACTAATCTACCCTCCTGAACCAGCAGCTGAAGGAKCTGGGCAAGCCTTAGGACAACGAGTGAGGCTGCAACAGCTGGAAACAGCTTTTTGTCCGCTCAGCCGGCTGGAGAGGGGTTTAGGAAATGTGCATTGTAGAAGGACCACTGTGGCACTGGGGTGGCAGTGTGACCGCAAGGGCACCGGGCGGGAGGGGACCCGTCCCCCGCGCTGTCCCCACGTACCTCTGCGCCGCCAGGCTCCGCACGACGGACGAGAGCAGCTGCCCGTCCTTGGAGGACACCTGCATGACATACTGGGGACAGCCGGCGGCCGGGCCCCCGCTGCCCCCGGGCGGGCTCTTGGCGTCGGGGGCCGGCGGGCGCTCCGGAGGGACCCCGGGCAGGTGGCTGSAGCGGCTCGTCCTCATGGCGCTGGGCAGCGGGACCCCATCCAGGCGGGACGGAGCACAGGCGGGCGCTGTGGGGCACATCTGTCCCTGTCTGACCAACACCGCGAGTGAGGAGAAGCGATCTCGCTGCCCACCCCGCGCTTCCCAAGCCCACTCAGCGGAGAGAGGGGGTTTATGTAAACGACATTTTGTGTCGTGGAAAATCTGGTCTGCGCATCCCAGAAGCAGCAACCCTGCTTGTTTTTTGCTCTGCAGGCTCCTGAAGTTGTGAGTGATAAATGGAAAGGCTGAACCTCTGGTCACCCCCGCTCCAAATGTTTCAAAGGAATACGAAATCCTCACCCCGTGCGCTTTCAAATTCGAAGGCAGCCGCTGCCCGCCCATGGGGTAAGTTATGTACTGGAGGAGAAAACGGGCTGATCGGCTCAAAATCCTCTCTGAAAGCACTTCACTGCTGCTTAATGTCTTCTATCAGCAGCCCACAGCGGAGCACAGACCTGGCAATTAATCCTGTGCGGGGTTTTATGCACACAAACCCTCTCAATCACAGCAGGCTCGCAGCGATAATTTATGCAGCAAGGTGAGTCAGAAACCAGAGCACGCCCGAATCTTTCTTCCCGGCTTTGCTCCTTCTCGCACGGCTGGAAGTGTGTTTTGCGAGGTGCTTTCAACCACAGAAAGGGGGAGGAAGGGCTGTGCTGGGGACAAGGAGCGTGGGAGTGCAAAATCCCGACTTCTGGGTGTGTTTTGTCGCGGACGGGACAGCTGGTTCCACCAGGCTGTGTCCCCCTCCCTCATCCCCTCGGGTCAGGCACCAAAAGCACACTCACAGGGTGGATTAATCCCTCTGCAAAAGCGGGGGGAAACCTCCTAGCCTGCTTCGGGATACTTGGCTGCAGTAAAYACTGCAGGTTGCGATGATGACATTCCCACGTCAAAATCGGGCGTTTCGCCCTCACAAAAAACCTTTTGCCATCACACATCACGGTTGTGTAGCTGAGAGGAACCTTCAACAACTGAACATTAATAAACCCTTTAAAACAGGTGTGTTTCTCCAAGAGTTTTGAAGAAACCTTGAGATTCCACCTCGTCAGATTTGAGCAAAAGACGCCCTAACCCCCGGGAGTCCCATGAAGGGATGATTTTGGCAGCCAAATTCTCCAGCACGTCAGGGCTGATGTGGATGCTGGGCCACTTGAACCGCACGAGTTTTCACACAGGAACTGATATTCTTAGAAAGGAGCCTAAAATAGGAAAAAAGCTTTGGCCAAACGTTTGTTTTGTGGGATTACTTCGRTTATTTTCAGACCGTGCACACCCCGGGGACAGGGCTGGAGGCTCACAGGGGATGGAGCGTTCCGAGAGCAGGGAAAGGGATCGGACCCAGGGCCTCATTTACAACAAAAATGAAGCCAATGGCTGATGTCAAAACCATTAACACATAAAAGACGCAGATATTTCAAGAGAAGAAGAGCCTCGGACTCTCCAAGGACGCCGTGGTGTTCGGCAATATTTTAGTTTTAAAATCCATGCCGAGACTGTTTAACAAGAACATTCAGCTGCTGAGTGGCTGCTTCATTAAACTCAAAAAGCCTAAGAAGTGTGGTGCTTACAGAGCCACGCTGCAGAATTATGTATTTCTTCTCTGATTGCTTCACTGACCTCATTAAGTACAAGAGTGGGTTTATCATTTGGTATAAAGTGACCATCCAAGCCTTTGCAAACACATCCATCAGCCACTTGATGAGTTTGGAGCATTTGCGGGAGCATCAGAGGATRCAACTAAATGCAAAGCTTTAAAGCACACGGGAAATAATCTGGCTGTGTCTCTGCAATGTTAATTCAAATGTTCTGCCTGCAGCGCTGCATTGATATCCCAGTTTGGCAGGGCAGATTCACAGAATCCCTTTCTACTTTTTTCTTTTTTTTTTTTTTTTTTTTTTTTTTTTTTTGTAAGGGAAAGTTGAAGTTACCACGCATTTTTTCCATTTCAGAAGAACCACTTTCACACAAAATCAGTGCATATGCCTGAAGAGCAATACAATTACAAACTTAAATTATATATGCTTTAATACTGAAAATTAGTTGTCTTGAGAAGCACTGAGATCCTAAGCAAATCTGAAGTCAAAGCTGACATTTTCACAGCCACAAACCTCCAAAGTCAGTATTTATCCAYATGCATGTATTATGCCAAGAAGTTTTTCACCTGAAACTTGTGGACATCTGTCAAAAATGCCTCAGCAAAGCAGAAAATAAAGAAGAAAACCAGGAAGATGTGTTTAGAAAGTATTTATGAAGACAAGCAATATTTAACTGGGGAAGCCAGAATATCAGTATTTATTCCAGAAGCCAGAAAATTCTGATAAAAGCGGCTGAATTTGGCATGATGGATGCTAGWATTTAGGTGCTTTGTTTTCTTTTGATTGTTGTTACAGGTGCTAGTTTTTATTTATATGTGTACATATAAATGAGTATGGGTTTATGGGTATCAAAGTAAAAGCAAAGGTATTGCAGGTGTTTTCTTTATGTGGTAAGTGTAAAAAAAAAAAAAAGACAATTCAACAAATAGGCTCAAGCAGAACTTGAATAAACTCAGCCAACAAACTCCAGCAAATTATCTGAGGGCATGTTGAAGCTGGGTAGTGCTTTAAAAGACATCCTTCACCCCATAATAATTTATAGAAAATGTTAGGGATAACTTACACTGAACCTTTCCTCTCCTGGTCTGCTGCCTGCAGTGCTAAAAGTCAACATTCTCTGATTTCCTTGCCTCTCTCTCACCTGTGCCCCCTGCCTAGTTTTTTTAAAATATTTCCCAAGTCCAYTCTGCTCTCCTGGACTTGAGTAATTAAAAGGTTACCTGGAAGGATGTTTCATCTTGGCATTGTGTGAAAGAAATGCCATATTTTAGAAAAGTGGCTTGGCCCCACAAACCAATGCCACCAGGCACCTGGAATTTCTGTTTCAGAAACAATCTGKTTTTGGGCTCACTCAGCTGCTGATTTTTGCCAACATTATGTACCTACTGCTGTTCAACAAACATTTCTTTACATGCTGCAAGGAATTTATAYCCTGTCTTTCCTATCTTCTGCTCATATTCCTATTTAAGTAATTTCTGACTTCTGTATCAAAAATTAAAACCCACAAGGCTCAACAAATGCCAGTGAGCAGGGCAGTGCCACTCCCATCGAATTGCACTCAAATGGGATGTTAAAAACCAGCATCACTGCCCTGAAAAGGAATTAAAGACAAAGCCACCTGCAGAACTGGAATACAGCTGGAATCCTTGTTGCACTCTGACTGTGCCTGAATTGGCCTCGATTCTCAGACCCATGAAGCATCATCAGGATGATGAATTAAATCATCACAGTAGACCCTTTTTAAAGCAGTGGTGCTTTCTGATGAAGCTGTGAAACACTGAGATTTGCTGGAGACAAAATGATATTTACACTTCAAGCAGGGGGTTGCAACTGTTGAACAAACTCTCATGGAGAGGTCACGTGTGAATTGCTGCCTTTTCCTTTTTTTTTTGTCTGCTAAGAATAGCACTTATTCCACCTCTCAGTCATGGTTTCAAACTCGGAAACCCCTTTACCTTTCTTGATCCACCTTCCCATGAGTTTATTTTTTATAATAAACTGTTAGTTTCTAGAAGTGCAACACAAGCAACACAAGCTTACATCCAGCAGCTTCAAGACATAAAAATATGCATGAAAGTCCAGTGCCATCCAATCTGGAGAACATTTTCCCAAGAAATACTGCATTATTAGAAAAWGACAGCCAAAATAATAAAAATAATGGTAAYAGTAATAAATAGTAAYGGTAATAGTAATAATAAATAAAAGCAACAAACCAAATCAAAACCCAATCCCAAACACCCCTCACACCAACAAAAAACAAACACCCCCCCCACACACAAATTATTGAAAGACTAAACAAAACAATAAATAAAACACACAAAACAGACAAAACAAAACCTAAAACCAACAAGCAAAAAAAACAAAAAAAAAACAACCCCAAAACCACCTTCCAGTTTTCAGAAGCTTTCAGAGATGTATTTTTGTTTCCTATTTATGTGCTTTCACTACTTTTGCACCATTTACKCCAGAATTTTGAACCCCAATGGGCAGTTTTTCCCTTCAGAAAGGTCAGCAGATTCAGAGCAGAGATAGAATTGTGTCTTACTGCAAACTGGAAGAACAGTGCTAATCATGGAGAAGCATCTCCCACCTGCTTTTTTGCTATCCATGCCAGCTGGTTACTGAGAATGCAAGTTTTTGCATTCTAAGTAAYAAAAATTAATGTTTGTCTGCAATGTAATTATCTGAGGCTCAGTGGAAAAGGTGCTCTCACCCGGCTCAAGTGTTACAAGATCACACATTACCTTTATTTCTAGAAATGGAGAAAAAGAATTCATATTCCCACCACTGAGGTTTAGACAATAATTTTATGCCCCTTTTTAAGGTGCTCCAGGGACCAAAGCAGACATTGCAGTCACTGGATGGTTTGCTGCATTTTTCCCCATTTTTCCCCTTCCCACCTAAAAATGCAGAACAAGAACCAAAAATCTCAACTCCAGAGTACTCTGAAACCTCCTGGCTTTTTATCCATTAAGAAACAATGCAGGGTGCTGTGAAGGTGGGACAGAAACTTTCTAAAAAACTGAGAACACCCAGGGCACCTGAAACTCCTATTTTAACAGGCAAACATTGAGTTTAATGCACRTAATTTCTCAGACACTCATACCTGGAATAGTTTGAAACATTTATTGACTTTTCCCCCCACAAGAAGCTCAATGGATCCCCTCCTGGCTCCAAATMTTGAGWAAAAAAAACAAAAAACACTGAGGTAATTGGGAGTCCCAACCAAAGCCCTGGATGCTGCAGAACTATGAAACCCCCAAAAAATTAATTTCTCCAACTTGACAAGAATTCCTCCATTTGATAATCACACAACGAGATTGTGGCTTGGCACAAGGAGAGATAAATGATGCTGCCTGACCTGCTCTTTGTGGAGGTCAGAAGCCATCAGAGGGAGAGGCAGCCCGAGGACACAGAGCTTTGGGGACACAGCGACAGGAGA